TTTTTTTTTTTTTTAATTTTTATTTTGAGACAGTATCTCACTAAGTTGCTGAGGCTAGCCTAGAACTTGTAATCCTCCTCCCTCAGCCTCCCAAATTGCTGGGATTATAGGCATGTACCACCATACCTGGCTCACTTGTTTTTTCATAGCTGTGTTGATACAAGCAGTTAACCATTAAAGGAATTTATTTTTCATAACTTATTTCTGCTGCCATTCATGGATTAGTGCAACATAATCCCAACTAATCTATTTGCAATTGTTTAAATTCTTCTCAGTGAAAGAGAAGATTATTTGAAATTTTTGTTCTTCCTAGAATTAAAAAGTTTGGAAATCATGTTTAGCTGAATCTTTTCTACTCAAAATCACTGAGTAGTTGAGTTATGGACCTATATCCAATCATGTGTACTAAATATCTTTGTTTTTTTCCTATACACTTATAGCTAACTTAGTGCTACATCAGACTGTGGAGCGTATTCATGTGGGCAAAAAATACGGTGATATTCCTCGAGGAATTTTTGTGGTCAGAGGAGAAAATGTGGTCCTACTAGGAGAAATAGTAAGTGAAAACTGTTAAGCTACTATGGATCTTGATATTCATACTAGTTAGGTTTCTTTTGTCTTTTCAAGAGGAAAAAAATATTTTTCACATAACACTGAGTTTGTTTATCACAGGCACCAACCAAATTAGGAAAGCTACCCAGAAAAATTAACTTTGTTTCAGTGCCTTTGGGTATTTAAATATTTTGATCCCATGAACAAAATATCAGTGATTTTACCTGATATAAAAATATTGCTCTGGACTGGTGTTGTGGCTCAGTGGTAGACCACTTGCCTCGAATGTGTGAGGCACTGGATTCAATTCTCAGTACCACATGTAAAGGTCCATCAATAACTAAAATAAATAAATAAAATTTTTTAAAGAATATATTGTCCTATATAAATGTGTTTGTTAATATAGAATTTCTGTGTATATCTAATAGCAGAAAATCAAAAAGACTTTCGATGAATGTTGTTGGTTTATAGGTTACCTATGTTAGAATATTTTGCAGTCATTTAATTGATTAAAGTGGTTTTCCATAACAAAAATTAATTAGCAGAGTTTGAGGGAAGAACACATTGCATATATAACATTGTCCATATTTTTCAAGGGGGAAAGAGAAAAAAAGGCTGTAGGAAAAGCCCTTCCTTTGTCTATCCTGAAAATGGAGCTCAGCTGTGATCCTTGGATCACAGCCAGGAAGGAAGTACCTGTGCCAGAAAGAACAATTGGAAAGTGAAAAGTTAAATCAGCTGGGTGCAGTGGCACATGCCTGTAATCCCAAGGACTTGGGAGGCTGAAGCAGGACCATTTCAAGTTAGTGACCAGCCTCAGCAAAGGCAAGATCTGTCTCAAAATAAAAAATTTTTAAAAAGGGCCAGAGGTGTGGTTCAATGGTAAAGCACCCCTGGGTTTAATCCCCAGTGTGAAAAATACCAATAACAAAAAGTTAATTTTCCAAAGTGATATTGCTGTGGATCTGTGTGTATTTATACTATTGGAAAACTTTTTTATAAATATAAAACTGTTTAGCCAGGCATGGTGTTGCATACCTGTCATGCCAGCTTCTCTGGAGGCTGAGGCAAGAGGATCACAAGTTTGAGTGCAGCCTCAACAACTTAGTGAGACCTTGTCTCAAAAACCAGAGTCAGGTGTGGTGGTGC